TGAAAATGTATGTTCACACAAAAATTTGTGTATGAATGTTCATAGCAGCAGTATTCATAATAGCCAAAAGGTGGAAGCAACCAAATTGACTATCAGATGATGAATGTATAAACATTATACTAAGTGAAAGAAGTCAAACCCAAAAGACCATATATAACATGTGATTCCATTTGCACCAAAGTCCAGAATAGGCAATTCTACAGAGATAGAAAGATTAGTGGTTTCTTGGGGTGGAGTGACTAAGGAATGGGGGGTAACTGTTTAATGAGTATGGGTTTCTTTTTGAGGTGATGAGGATGTTCTAAAATTAGATTGTGGTGATGGCTGCACAATTATGTGAACATACTAAAAAGACTGAATTATACACTTTAAATGGGTGAATAATATTATATGGTATACGAATTATATCTCAATAAAACTGACAAAAACCAACAATTTTTAAAATGTTGTTAGAGGGTATTTTGGTAAAGTAAAGGATAGTCCATTCAATATCCATTTATACATCAGTACTTAGACCAGTGAAATTCTCAGCAAAGGTTGTCAAAGGGTGGGAGCTTTTATTTTCTTTTTACATCTTGCCAGCTTCCCCAAGCCTAGCCCAAAGGGCTGCACCTTTCATATGAATGGTGAACTGACTCATTCTTTGTCAGAAAATGTTTATGTTTCATACTGACTTTTAAGTGATAGTTGAGCAGTGCATAGAATTAGATATTCACAATTTTACTACTCAAATGCTGTAATATATTCCATTGTCAGCTTGCCTGTATCTATTCAGACTCGACCACATCAACCATGGATGGCTCTTTTTTTTCCGCCCCTGGGGATTTCCCTTTCTTTATTTCAGGCTCAACTGCAAGTTTTTTCTCCACACTTCATTCAGCACTTATTTGGTTAAAATGGGAAAAGCCACTCCAAATTATCTCTATCAAGTTGCTTAAACTAGAAGTGTCTGATGCCTTATTAATGTGTATACTCACCCCAGTGTGAGAACTAGCGTCACTGTCAAGGGATGGGGGACATTGGAAGGCAGAGGTTTGGAGCATCTAAATGATTGATCATCTTTTTCCCTTACTCACTTCTCCAATTTTCTGAGAGAGAAGTGACAAAGAGGGAAAACAAGAGCTTATTAAGAAGAGCCAACTCTTAGTATAAGCACAAAGATCCCTTCCACTTTCAGAGTCCTATACCATTCCACATATAGCTGGGCTCAAGATGTATATTTTTCTCAATGGGAAGATGCCAGGGGAGAATCTTAGCTTCCTTCTCAGGCCAGAGCTCAGAACAGACTACTCTAATCTGGGTCTGCAGCTAGCACCTGAACAGAACCTCCTGAGCTCAGGAGCATTCCACAATGATTTCTTCTTCCTCCTCTTCCTCTTCTTCTTCTCTTCCTCTTCTTCTTCTCTTCCTCCTTCTTCTTCTTCCTCCTCCTCCTCCTCCTCCTCCTCCTCCTTCTTCTTCTTCTTCTTCTTCTTCTTCTTCTTCTTCTTCTTCTTGAATGTTAGAGACTTTCCCCTAAGTACCCCCAGGAGGATTCACATCTGGATCTAAGATGGGGAAGGGAAAAGCATGGTCATTTTTGCTCAAGTCTCAAATTTTATGAACTTCAAATATTGGTTGCTGTTCATTGCAAATTTGTTCAGGGGAACAGGGTAAGTCTTCACAGTGGCCTTCTGACTTGAATAATGAAATCATGTGTATATGATAGAATGGCAGCATGTAGGGTAAGAGTGCATGGGGCTCTGGGGTCAGACTATACATGTTCAAATCCCAGCTCTGCTATTTTTAGCTCTGTAGCCTTGGGCCAGTTATTTAACCTCTCTGTGCCACAGATTTTTGGTCTATAAAATAGGATTACTGAGAGCACCCACCTCTCACTGCTGCTTGGAAGATTACATAGGATAATCCAGATAAAGCAGTTAGCCCATAGCTTGGGCCACTGATAAGTGTTCCACAGATGCTAATATTAAACTGTGGCTTTTGCCAGGCTTCAGTCAAGGTTTTACTTTTAGATCCTCCCCCACAGTTTAAATAGAACCCTTGAAGAGAGTGGATGTTGAATATGTCCCAACTAGCCCTATCCCACCCACTTCCCAACCTCCTCAGGGCTAAGCTTAGGTTTACATATAATAACAAGATCCTACATTTGTATATCTTGCACTTGATTTTTCTCAACACTTTTACAACTTTTATCCCCTGAAGCTGTACAGTTAGCAGGATGGTGATGATTATCCCTATTTTGGAGAAGAGGAAACTGATGCCTTGAAAGGAAAAATGACCTGTTTAGAACTATCCAGTTTGGTAGAAAGAGAGACAAAGGTACTTAAAGTCAGTCTTCCTCCTTCAATGGTCATTTCAACCTCCTACACTATGTATTCTATAACTCTTCCATTAGATCACAAGGGATCAAGCAGCCTGCTTCCCTGTCTCACAACTCTTCAAGATGCAGAGTTTTCAGACCAGGTGAGAAGGAAGGAAATATATGATCTATATGTTAAAAATATCTCTATACTTTGAGGTAGGACAATTTATTTTATTTGTAATATTCTAGTTGGAGAATGAGGTTGATAGTGCCTTGAGGTCTCAAGCCTATTGGAAGAAATTAGGGGGAAGAAATATTGTATTTGATCTGACCAAATTAGTCCAGTGTAATGGGAACTTCACTGAGCCCAAAGTGAGGCTCAGAAATGTCTGGAAACTCTCTGAGTCATTGGTCATTAAGTGGCAGCCCAAGCTTGTACTTGCATTTGAGAATGTGGTCTTTAAGAGAGCCTTTTTATTTCAAATCAAATGGTAAGTTTATTAAGAGAAGGTTTTATATACTATTGGTCCCTGAGGGGCAGAGACAGAGACCAGGTGGTGGGTAAAAGGATAACAGAAGGGTGGGGGAACAGGACAGGGTGATATTTGCTTTCTACCTAAGCCCCAAGGACTGGGTGTGTGGAGAGAGGTCCTGGTATCTATTCACAAGGATGATAGTGGTTTTTTAAGAGATCTGTGGACTTACAGTGCTTTAGGGGCAGGGATAGAGACGAGATGGAAAATTTGGGAATCAGAGCAGAAGGTTGGGTCTGAATAAAGTTGATGGCTTTTGTTCTCCAGCCACAGGAACCAAGTCTGAAAGTCTGAGTTGGGGCAATGGAGGTGGGGGCAGCAGGGGAGAGGTTGCTGTGGGAAGGAGCTGAAGCCACTCTTCTCATATGGGCCTCACTGAGATATAGGATAGAAGCAATGCTGTTTTGATGATGTCCAGGGGACAAAATGTGGCACAGAATGGGGAGAGGAATTACTACCCCCACTCCCTAATTCTACCCCTTAAGTCCCCCACCCACACCCACCTACCCATCATTAACCCATCAGTGGTTTTAGCCAAAGCTGCCTAAAAGGAGGACAGCACCATTCAGGCCCTCTTTGGATTTGCAGAATCCACACCCCACCCCAGCAGGGGCCTTCAGGTTCTCACAGCCAGAGGCACCCACTGGCAGCTTGGGCACTGTGGAGGGGCTGTTCTCACTTGGCAATGTGGTCAGCATCCACAAGGCTGGTTAGGAAGAAAAGATCAACAGGAGAGGACTATCTCAGAGTAAGGGAAACTGTAGGGTCTTCCACAAATAACCAGAGGAAACCTTCAAGTTGTTAAGATTTTGTAACACACTGGGGTCAGTGACATCTGAGTTTTTACTGCTTATGGAAACTTATTTTTACTCATGGGCCATTGAGGCCTGGAGAAACTTGAAACACTATTTTACAACAGGCAAAATAGTCTCAAGTATTTGGGCATATGATGGCTCAGCTCCATGAAGATGTTGAGTGACTCTAGAAACATTTTTAAATATATCCTTTTGGGGTGGTAGCAGAGCAGGGAGTGAGCTCCAGCAAGGTATACAGGTATATGTAAGTTTCTTTTGCTCTATTTATCTCTAGTGACATTAGCTTTAAGGAGTGGAGAGGCAAAAACAAAGGGAAGAACACTAGGGAGAAAAACAAAGAAAAGAATGTTATTGTTCTCCATTATCATGGCTATAAAAAAAAATAGTTTTATTTTTAAAGACATTTTCCTTCCTATACGCACTTTCCAGACACAAATTGTGACTCTGTATCATCAATATCTTTTTCAGCAAGAGAAAGATCAACAGTGCTTTCCCAAGCTAAGAGCAACCCTGGCTGAACACGGAGATCCAAAGTTCACTAGGGCCTGCCCTGGGCCAGGTGTGAGTCAACAGGGTCCCCAGAGGCCCACAGCCTCCCTGCCTGGAGTTTGGGTTTCCCAACTTATTGCAACCTCTTTTTCCCAATGCAACAGCACTGGTGATTGATAGATCTGTTGGCAGCCTGCAGAGTCATATTCTTATCTATATTACCATGGGGTTGCCAATTTGTCTGCCAATCTTTGTTGTTGTTGTTTTCTGAGAATCATTTTCCTCTTCCTGGAATCAGACTTAGTGTTTAGGGTAATGGAACAGTAGGCTTAAGTCCTAAGAGGGCAATTGGTCTGTTCCTCTTTTCATCCCTGCTGCTATAAGCCCTAGACTGACTCTCATCTGGTGAGTCAGCCACCTATACTATCACAGTAGGGAGCTTATCACTGCTCTCTGATCCCTTTCCCCATTCTGCCTCTAAACTCTTGCCAAATTTACATTCTAAAACATGTTTCTAGTATGTTACCTATTGTTTTTAAAAGATCTTTGAGTAACCCAATTACATGGACTACGATTGAATAAATAAATTAGCCCCATTAGAATCACATTCCCCAATATCTTGATTTTTTGTCTTTGTAACCTTCACCAAATTTCAACCTATCTTACTTATGTGCTTTCTTGCTTATTGTCTGTCTCTTCCCTCCACTAGAATGAAGTTTTCATTTAATGAGCATGTTTACCTGTCTATCCCCAAAACAGTGGTTGATACATGTTAGATAATAATGTTGAATGAAAGATCAATAAATCAAATTCTGTTAGCAACAGTTCTTTTTTTTTCATAAATGAAGTTTATTTACTTCTATGATTACAAATGTAATGCATGCTTACTGTAGAGACTCTGGAAATTACAGAGAAGTAGAAAGAAGAAAATAAGAACACCCATAATCCCATCACCTGAAGGCAAACATTGCTCACATTATGTTCTATCTATGCCTGTTTAAAGACCAAGACCCTTATCAAGAGTGTTGGCCATGAAGCACAATAGCCAAGGGGAATGAGGGCAACTAACAACTGAGGGGGTTACCCAGAGGTCAGAGCTAGAAATTTGACACTGAAGGACAAGAAAAGAGCCATACACAACAGCTGAAGAGGTCAGAAGCTGAAAACACAACAACAAGTTGAGTTAAGGTAAGAATGTAGTGAGATAGTGTTTGTTAAGAGCGTAGCCCAGTATCTGTCACAGAGTACATAATCAATGAATGTTAGCCATTACTATGATTACTATGGGTCAAAATGAATGGTTCATGATGGAGACTATAAACAGGGAAAGTACCCTGGAGACCCACTTTAGATGTTGTGATTTGGGGCATATAAAGGCAAGCCTACTGGGTAGAAACGATTGTGTAGGAGTGGGCATCACTTTCCACATAGGCTCCCCTGCCAGGTGAAATGAGTACCAGGGAGTCCTCAAGTTTGCCTGATGACATGTGGCAAGACACTCTAAGGTGTTTTTGAGGTAGGACATGGTTTCTCCTGCTTAGACATCTCCCTGGACCAAGAACTAAAACTGGCCTTGATGATGATGGGGGTTCAGAACTTCATACACCAAACGCTCTTGAAGTCCACACTCTGATTGTCGGGGCAAGTCACAGGCATATGGGGTAAAAGAGGTCATATCACTTAAGTGATATGGTGAGATGTGCCTGGAGGGGGAGCCCAAAGGAGGGAGGCCACAAGGTTTATGATGTAATTAAATGGAATGAGTTCAGGAACCAGTCCTCAAGTTAGCAGCCAAGTCAGTTTTCACAGAAGAGTCCAGGGAACATTACTTGTTGGTGGAGGTCTTCTTATGACCTGCGCTCTGTCGAAGGTGGTTGTGTAGACCCTCTTGGGGGTCTCTATGCTCTTTCAGGTAGTAACAGCGTTTGGGAACATGCTGGTGCTGGTAGTGAGAAAAACAAAAAACAGCAGAGGTAAGAGCCGTGCTTACTGTGACAAGGGGTGTTCCACTTGGGTAATTTCAGTAACCTAGCAGATCAAAGAACTTGGCTAATGTACCTTACTTGTAAAAAGTGTGACAGGAGACTAGGGTAGCCAAATTTCCTAGTGACCTGGGTCCATCACACATGTGCTTACAGGTGAGACCCAGCCCCCAAAAGATGACCCCTCCCTTAGAACTGGACTTGGAATAAGTAGAGAGTTGGGACTGAGCCTAGCTGGTTCCCCCTAATCAGAAGACATAGTACCTTAACCATTCTAGGCCTTCAGTAACGAGCAGGACTTTGTTCCTCAAAGTGGTTAATATACCCAAAATAATTGCAACAGCCAGGCCTACTAATGAAACTCCAGGTTGGGGGTTATGGTCTAGGAGCTCAATGTCCCCCCTTGCCTCTTCCTTATGCTACTCAAAGGAGCAGGATGTATTCCTCATCATTTACTCCTCATTTTCTGCTCTAAAGCCTTGAATATGTTTCCCCTTTATTACCTCCTCAGTCTGCTGATGAGACTTCATTTCATTCTCCATTGCCTCCTCATTATTCCGCTTACAGGCTGTCTGCACAACCTGGCTTGAGAGGCCCCGGGAACTCTTCTCTTCAGCCAGCTGGCACTCAATGTAGAGAGACCTGTCTATCAGCTCCTTTAGGCTGCCAGCCACCTTCAGGAAGATCCGTCCCATTTTGGTGCTAACAGCTTCCGAGAGTCCTTCCAGAAACCTGGTCCGTAGGATGGCATCGGACCAAGACAAATGTTGGGCCAGCAGCAGGAAGTCAGTGGCATATTGCCTGACTGACTTCTGGCCCTGCTTGGGGTGGCAAAGAATAGCACTGAGGATGTCTATCTCAGAGAGGGAATCATATAAGCCCTGTGATCTTTTCAGGAAAGATTTATTTTCATCTGAGAGGGGGTTTCCTACCTCCAGCTGCAAGATGGACAACCTTTCCGCTGCCCCCAGATGAAGAGACACCAGAAATGCCATTTTCTCTGAATCATTCAAAAATCCCTTAATTTGCTTCTCCTCATCAATCTCCATCTCCTCCTCCTCAGAGCATGAACTCCGGGCTTCCTGCTCTTCTAAGAGGTAACAGAGTGCTGGGGTCAGCATGCCAAAGGATGGAACTTCCTTTTGTGGTGGTTTCTTCACTCTTTCGGGGGTCGTGGTAGTCACACGTGTTGTGGGCTTTGATCCAGAGGCTGTGATGTTATTGTGAGCAGCAGATGTTTCTCCAGAGTCTGTGACTTTGATGTCCACAGTGGACATCATTCCAGAGGCTGTGGCTTCCATCTGTGGTATAGACATGGCTCCTGGGACTGAGGCCCTCATTACTGGTGTGGATATCCCTCCAGAGGCTGTGGCTGTCATTTGTGGCATGGACATTCCTCCAGAGGCTGTAGCTCTCAGAAGTGGCATGGACATTGCTCCAGAAGCTGAGGCTCTCATTGGAGGTGCAGGTATCCCTCCGGAAGTTAAGTATGTTTTTTGTGGCAAAGACATAGATCCAGAACTTGTGACTCTTGTTTGCAGTGTGGACATTGCTCCAGAGGCCATGGATGACATCATTGGCATGGACCTTTTTCCAGAGGCCGTGGCTCTTATAAATGGCTTGGGCTTCCCACCAGAGGCTATGGTTGTTGTTTGTGCAGCAGACGTAATTCCAGAGACTGGAGCCCTTAATAGTGGTGGGGACATCACTCCAGAAGCTTGGGTTTGCTTTGATGGTGTGAACATCTCTCCAGAAGCTGTGGGCATCAGTTGTGGTGTGGACATTGCTCCAGTGGTTGGGGCTTTCATCAGTGGCATGGACACCTCTCCAGAGGCCATGGCTGTCATTTGAGGCATGGACATTACTCCAGAGGCTGTGGATCTCATGAACCGTGTGGACATGGCTCCAGAGACTGGAGCCCTCATTTGTGGTGTGGACAACCCTCCAGAGGCTGTGGCTGTCATTTGTGGAGTAGACATTTCTCCATAAACTGGGGGTCTCAGAGGAGTGACTATCTCTCTAGAAGCTGGGTGTCTCATTAGTGGTGGGGACATGTCTCCAGATGATGAAGCTCTTATGAGCAGTGCGGACATCTCTCCATGGTCTGAAGCTCTCATTGGTGGTGTGGACATCTCCCCAGAGGCTGGGGCTCTCAATTTTGGTGTGGACATCAGTTCTGAGGCTGGGGCTTGCATCTGTAGTGGGGACATCCCTCCGGAAGTCATGGATCTCAGGAGTGACCTGGACATCCCTCCAGAGTCTTGGGTGTTCATTTGCTGCCTGGGCATCTTTCCAGAGGCTGTGGCTCTTATTAGTTCTGTGGGCATTGCTCCAGGGCCTGAGGCTCTCATTAGAGGTGTGGACATAGTTCCGGAGGCTGCAGTTGTCATTTGTGGTGTGGACATGTCTCCAGAGGCATGGGCTCTCATTAGCGGTGTGGGCATCCCTACAGAGGCAGTGTTTGTCATCTGTGGCAAGGACATGGTTCCAGAAGCTTTGTCACTCATTAGTATTGTGGATATATCTCCAGAAGCTGTGGTTGTCATTTGCTGCATGAACATTGCTTCTGAGGCTTTGGCTGTCATTAGTGGCTTGGACAATTCTCCCAAGGTTGTAGCTCTCATTTGCGGCATGGGCATCACACCTGAGGCAGTGTCTCTTGTTAACAGTGTGGACATTGCTCCAGAGGCTGGCGCTCTCATTTGTGATGTGGACATTGTTCCAGAGACAGGGGTTCTCATTTGCAGTGTGGACATTGACCCAGAGGCTGGGGCTGTCATTTGTAGCATGGACACTGTTTCAGAGGCTGGGGCAGTAACTGGCTGTGTGGACATTGCTTCAGAATCTGCTGCTCTCCTTAGCGGCATGGACATCATTCCAGAAGCTGGGGATCTCATTTGCAGTGTGGACATTGCTTCATTGTTTGTGGCTTTCATAAAGCCTGTGGATGTTGCTCCAGAAGTTCTGGCCACTGTTACCTGTGTGGGCATCACTCTAGAGGCTGTGGTTGACATTTGCTCTGTGGACATTGTTCCAGACGTTGTGACAGTCATCAGTGGGGCGGACAATGCTCCAGAGTCTGAGACCATCTTCAGCAATGTAGACATATTTCCAGAGGCTTGGGCTCTCATTTGTGGTGTGGACATTGCTCCAGGGTCTGAAGTTCTCACTGGCAGTGTAGAAATCCCCCCAGAGGCTGTTGCTCTCATCCGTGGAGTAGACATGATTTGAGAGTCTATATTTTGTGTTAACTGAGAGGACATCACTCCAGAGCTTTGGGCTGGCATCAGCTGGGTGGGCATCACTCCAGATGTTAGAGCCGTCATTAGCAGTGGGCACATTGCTTCAGCATCTGGGACTGGCTTTGGCAACGTGGACATTTCTCCTGCATCTGGACCTGACAGGAGTGGTGTGGACATTGCTCCAGAGCCTGGAGCTGACATTAGCAGTGAAGACACTACTCCAGAGTCTGGGCCTGACATTAGCTGGGTGGACATCTCCCCAGAGTCTTGGGTGCTTGTTGGATGGGTTGGCATTGTTCCTGAAGCTAAGGCTGACATTATCAATGAAGATATAGCTTCAGAGTCTGTGCCTGACATTAGCAGTGAAGATATCTCCCCAGAGGCCAGGGCAGTCATTAGTACTTTGGACATTGCTTCAGTGTCTTCATCTGTAATTTGCAGTGGTGACATTGCTTCAGAGCCTGGAACTGACATTGGCTGTGTGGACATCACTCCAGGGTTTATATCTGGCATTAGGAGTGGGGATATCTCTCCAGGATCCGGGGCTAGCATCAATGATGTGGACATCTCTTCAGAGGATGGAGTGCTCATTATAGATGTAGACATCACTCCAGAAGATGGAGTTGGAATTGCCAATGGTGATATCTCTGAAGAATCTGGTGCTTCCATTAGTGGTGTAGACATTGTTCCAAAGTCAGGAATTGTCAGCAGCCCTGGGGACATTAGACCATAGTCTGAAGTGGACAGCAGTGGGGACAATGTTCCAGAATCTGAAGCTGGCATTAGCAATGGAGACAGTGCCCCAGAGTCTGAGTTTGGCATTAGCAATGGGGACAGTGCTTCTGAATCTGAGGCTGGCATTAGCAATGGAGACAGTGTCCCAGAATCTGAGACTGGCATTAGTGGTGAGGACAGTTCTCCAGAGTTTAGTACTCCCGTTAGAGGTGTTGACATGGTGTCAAATTCTGTGGATGCCATCAGCTGTGTGGACATCCCTCCTGGGTCTGACGCTGAAGTTGAGACTATAGGTTGTACATGAGATTGCAGAATTTGGACCTCTTCTCTGGTCTCTATTGTTGATCCAGAGAAGGTCGTCCTCCTGTTTGGAGGGTCATTTTCCTCCATCAGCATACTGTTGAATCGCAGTGAATGTAAGGGTATTGACATATCTGAATAGTGTGGAGGAAGGATATCAGGGGTCCTGCTGAAGCCCAAGAAGCAAGAAAATCTGTAAACAAGAAATAAGTTTAGCAGTCAAAAACTAATATAAAAAAGACTGGGAAACAGAGAAATGATTCACGATGGAGGCCTTTTGTGTGTTGCCAGCTATGTGGCATAGGAGATGGGCCTGTCAAGTTAAAGAAGCTGTGCAACAATGAACAAATTTGAAGCTGTAACAAATATCCCTTCCACCACTATTCTTTTCAAGCCAAATCACTCAGTCACACAGCACAGCCTCTCAGTTTATACACACTAAAAATGACAGCAACCTCAGCTGCCAGGTGCCTGAGCAGTCCTGGATCAAATGAAGCAGCAGCACCACCTTCTGGGCAACTGTGAAAAGTGCAGGTTCTTCTTGGGTTAAGCTATATAAGCCAGCCAAGGTGCTGGCAGGCCTAGATGTGATAGCCCTTTGCTCCAGTAAAATCATTAGTTCCTGGGGCTCATTGAGTACTGCCAGTAGTTTAGTACCAATTTTACTACTCTGATGCCCTTGAATATTTTACTACTCTGATGGCCTTGAATATCTTCTAAGGAAAAAGAAGACTTTTATCTGATCAATGACTAGGAGCAACATTCCATGAACTGAAAAGCCGGCTTATTGTCATTATTACTAATAAAACGAACAACCATTACTACTAACACTTATTGTTCACTTAGTGTGTTCCAGGCACTAAACTTTAGGCAACTATATGCAACAGTGTGCAACTTTAAACTCTATAATATACAGAGATTTACATTATCCCATTTGAATCTTACAATACCCTGCGTGATGGTATTATTATTCCCATTTAACCAGCTTTCTCAAATTATGCAGGGTTAGGGCTAAAATAGGGTCACTGAAACAGTAAAAATTGTATGTCTTTGACAATCACCCCTCCTCGGGATTGCCTAGCTTTTAGCATCCCTAAGGCTGCATTCAATAATCTTTCTGACATCCTAGATCATACATAGCTCACTTGAAGCCCAGTCTATAGCATAAACAAATCTCAAGTTTCTCTGATGACATGAGGGTAGGCAATCACAGAGCCTCATTCTTGTGGCCCACCCACATAAGCAGTCCTAAAAGGGGCTCCTTGGCACATGACTTGGAAACCAACACACACATTAACACAATGTTGACACATCCCCACAGCCTATACATGCCAACAATGGAATACTTGCCTATTTGGGACAATGTCACAAAAGTCATCAATTACATGGCATTGTGCCTCCATAATAATAATGAGAATATTAGCAATAGAAACTCTAACATTTCTTGAGCATACACTGACTGGCAAGCACTCCACTAGGCACTTTACTTGCATCATCTTATTTGGTATCCACAGCAACAGTAACAGATTGGGTACTTTATCTTCATCTTAAAAATGAGAAAACAAAGGCCCAGAGAAACTTAATAATTTTACCGCAGTCATATAAATTCCCAGGGCCGCCCAGCTGCAGAGTCCCCTACTCTTCTCCATTGTGCTATAAAGCTCCACTTGATCTGCTCTCTCTGCCTCTTATTCAGTCACATTACCAAGATCCCTCCCTCTATCTCTAGCCTTGGACAACCCCGAGATGGAGTGTAGTAAAAGAAATATTGGCCTCCTGCTGGCACCTTGGTTACTCTACTAATAAGTGCAATGGGAAAGATGAGTTAAAAAAGCAGTCAAAGACATCCACCTCCCATTTTCAGAAAAATCTCAACATGCCACAGTTTCCCACCAGGCAAAACCCAGAAGGATCTTACCTTGTCAGTTAAGGAGAAGAGAGAGAACATGTCTTTTGTGCCCCTAGCTCTCTGAATCTGACCAATTCTCTTATACCCCATGCCCAGCCAGTTTATTAAAGTAAGACCCAATACCAGCAGCTGTTCTTTGCAGTCTCCCTTAGGTATCCCCTGCCACG